CTACCTGCACTGTGAAGTGAGCCTGTGTGTGAAGAGCACCAACACATGTGAACCGGTACGTCTCACTGTCAAACACACCTCATGGACTTTTCTCTGAATCTGACTCACTCAGACTTTGTCTCTGTCCTTAAATTCCAGAACTGCCCCATAAACCGAAGACGCAGATCACTCAGGTCCAAACATGATTCTCCTGGTTTGATCAGCATGGGCTGGACTAGTTAGGTAAGACTGCTTTAGCTTCTGTTTGTTCTGATATGTGTGTGTTTTATTTTAGCTGTTATATGTAAAGACAGAGATGTTAATGTAAAATAAGTTTCCATTGACTCATAACGAATGGTAACATGATGGTAACCATTTTTTTCATAGTGAAAGGGTCACAGAAATTAGAACTTTAATGCATCATGAAACACAAGTTTCCAAATACGATTTTATGGTCGATTTTCTCTAAACCAAACAGTTTCAAACCTRAATGGCTATGCTCAAATATATCCATACACCCTCACTTCTCACATAAATACATTTTCAGTTTTAAGAATATTGTGTATGTTGGTGTGAAGTAGTCCTGTGTGCTCCTCTGCTGCCTGACAGTCGAGACTCAGACCTGAGTCACAGCCTGACAGTTAAGATTCGAGACTGAATGAKAGTCAAAACTCAGGGCTAAGTTCARTTTTGACAGTCATGACTCAGAGTTGAGTTTTAACCCTAAACCTAACCCTATTCAACCTGCTAGTTATGACCCAGGGCTGAGTTCCATCCTGACAGTCAGCTGATGAGCAGATAAGACGAAGAAGAAGAGAAGAAGAGACCACAGTTAAATGTATCTCCTGTTGTCTTTTCAGGTGTTTTCCTGAATAACCAGACTGATTGACAGGCTGCTGACCTCCATGATGACCCCTGACCTTTGACTGGTCCTGATCCAGAACCAGATTGTGTTTTTTTTCTTCTTGAATTCTGGTTAAGGGGAGTGTGTGAGCTACAYGTGATTTCTGTTAGAAGCAGAWGAAACACTAATTAGATAATCTGAGACTCCATCTCCCAGCATGCCTCAGGGGCTGCAGACTGACAGCTGCTGGATAAAAGCAGAGCAGAAATGTGACAGCAGGCGTTCACAGATAGTGTGAGAACTCAAAGGGCTTTAAATGATTGAACTGTGTATTTAGTCATGGTGAAGGTGTTTCAAGGTGTTAATATGATCCAACTTGAGGTTATTGTAACTGTGATTTTAAACAATCAGTAGTTAAAGGTTATTTAAAGTTTTGAAGTAAATTATTTTGTTCAGATTTTTTCTTGAACTAATTCTTGTTCACATTCTATTTATTTGCACTTTTAATAATCAGCTCTTGAAATCTAAAGCAATGTTTGAAATTTTTAATATATATTTTTTTAATTTATGTGTGTTATGGACATTGTTTTATAC